ACTCCCACGTAGTCAACCACGGTTCATGTCCCGAACCTGGTGGCTTAAAACTCACTCTGGGCGCTTGTGCGTGTGCGCCCAAGATCCCGAGAGGAGAATGGAGGAGAAGGGATTGCGGCGTGACCATCCCCCCTGGGGGGTGATTTCTCACTTTCTGTCTCTATGTCTCGTGCCCTCCCCCTATAGCAAAAAATCTCTCCTAAAAAAACAATTGTAGGTACCAACATGAAAAAAAAAATTGTAGGGCCAGCCTATGGCATGGTGGTTGAGGTGGATGGATCCCACATAGCCACCATGTGGTGGTTTGAGTCCTTGACCCAGCAGTTTGAAAAACATGCTGGTGTGTGCGCATGTGTGCCTGAAATCATTAAAGGAGAGCAATGGAGGAGAAGGGGTTGTGGTATGACTATCTCCCATGGTGGGTGCTTTCTCGGTTTCTCTCTGTCTCTTTCTCTCTGTGTTTCTTTCCAGTGAGTGCATGTGTCCTGTGGCAATAAAAAAAAAAAAAAGGAAGTTAAAAGGAAATGAAAGTAATCATGAAATCACGAAAATAACTTAAATAAAGATATAGTCAACCTTGCAAATCCAGCTGCATCAGAGTCACTTCGTTGACAATGGAAAGTGAAGACGAGAAAGTAAATACAAATGATTCCTTCAAATATCTTGGTTTAAAGGGAAAGGAGGTGATGGGGAATTATTAAATCTTGCTTTCAGGCCAGCCAGTGGCATGGTGGTTAAGACAGCTAGATTTCACATGGTCCCACTTCATGGTTCGAGTCCTGGACCCAGTGGCTTTTTGAAAAACACACTGGGGAACAGAAGATGGCATAATGGTTATGTCGCTGGACTCCCACATAACTGACCGTGGTTTGAGTCCTGGACCCAGCAACTTAAAACTCACACCAGGCACATGTGTGTGCATCCTCAAAATCCCGAGTGAAGAATGGAGGAGAAGGGACCTCTTGGGGGGCGATTTCTTACTTTCTGTCTCTCTATCTTGCCCTATAGCAAAAATCTCTCAATAAATAAATAAATAAATAAATAAATAAATAAATAAATAAAAAGAAAGAAAAGAAAAAAGAAAAACACACTGGGCGGCAAGTTCATGCAGTGCCCCAAGGGAGAAGTGAGGGACTATGGTGTGATCATCCCTCCATGAAGTGATTTCTCACTCTCTGTCTCTCTTTCTCCAGCAAGCATAAACTCACTACAGCAAAAACTGAAAAGGAAAAAAAAAATCTTGCTTTCTCTGACTTTCTATAATTCTTAGAATGCAGACCTGTGTTTCTCAGTGTTTTGAGAGGATGAATTACACTCAAACAATGTTGCACATGGCATTTAGCGGTGTGTAAAATACTTGAGACATCAGGGGGGAAAGTGATGGCATTTGCAAGGTTGTTGAGAGCTTGGCACCAGTTGCCAGGGTCCCTGTCCTCCTGTGTCACCAACCAGCTGCATGATCTTGGGTAAGTCCGCTAAACCTTTCTGAGCTTCCACTTCCTTATTCATAAGAAAAGAACAACAAATAGAATATTCTACTGTGAAGATTAAAGCAGTACCTGCCGTTCCACGAAACAGTGAATGCTCACGAAAGTTCTCTCAACTGTGTAAGTGTAAACACAGATGGAAAAAGATGTAACGTGCAGATCAACTGCTATCAGTAATTGCCTCTGGATTTTTCCTTTTCTTTATTTGTGTCTGAGTTTTTCAAATACTTATAAGCAGTATTTGTTACTATTATAACTAGAGAAAAAAGTTTAGTTTTTAAAGTCATTTGATTATCATGTATACCATGCATGCTTTGAAAAAACATATTATATGCCATAAAAATGTACAACCATGAAATGCAAACAAGAAATCATACAATACATGCTGGGCATGCACCCGAGGGCCCAAGATCTGATGGGCTGGAGAACTGGATGAAGGGGATGGCGGAGCAACCAGACTGTGGAGTGTGACATCTCTCTCTCTCTCTCACTCTCTCACATGTGTATGCATGTGTCCTATCATGAATATAAAAAAGGTTTTCCTTAAACTTAATAGCCAGAGGGCCTGAGCCATGAGGTATTTAATTTTTAAAAATTTTGATTTCTATTAGTTTAAATGAACAAATCATAATTGTATTTATATTTATTAAGTACAATCTGATGTTTTTTTAATGGCCAGAGGGCACGTGTGCTTGTCAAAGAGAGAGAGGACGAGAGAGAGGGAGAAGGCATCCTACCATGGGGAGAGGCCACACTAGACACCTTTCTCCATTTCTCCATCCTGTCAGGACTTCATCCATGTACGCACACGTGCCCGGCGTGTTTTCCAAGCCACTAGAGCTGGGATTTACTGTTGTCATCCACGTGGGATACAGCTCCCTTAACGACTAGACTACCAGGCAGGCCATACTCTGATATGTTGATATACGTATACAGTATGGAATGGTTAAATGAAGTGAATCAACATAGCCATCGTCTTGCTCAGGTGTCACTTTTTTTGTGGCAATACGTTTGAAATTTACTCTGCTGGTTATTTTGGCATACACATATTTCGACAAACAAGACCAATTTACAGGAGAAGAAGATGACATGTAACAACTGCCCTGGTCACCTTTTCCCTGCTGGGCTCCCCTCTTCTGGGCGGAAGATCCTTGCAAATGCCAATGAGCTTTCAAATGTGGCTTTCTTGGTATATAGTGACTAGAGAGCTTTCCTTTGCTGCTGTTCCAGACCATTCTGCTTCCTTACCCTATGCTTGTTCTTCCATATGAAGTTTAGCCTTTTAAGTATCATAAGCCCCTTAAGAATATCATGATAGGATGCCACATTCAGGCTGCTATTTTGTCTTCAATTGCCTGGGGTTCATGTATAAACAAACATCAGGTGTGTAGACATTTTTTTTTTTTGAAGAAGTTTTTGCTATAGGGTGCGTGTGCTCGCCAGACATACAGAGACGGAGACAGAGAGACAGAAAGTGAGAAATCACCCCCCAGGGGGATGGCCATGCCACAATCCCTTCTCTTCCATTCTCCTCTTGGGATTTTGGGCACACACACACACGTGCCCGGCATGAGTTTAAGCCATCGGGTCTGGGACACGACCTGCATACAACTACATGGGAGTCTAGCGACATAGCCATTACGCTAACTGCTGGTCCCCCGAGAATATCGTGATAGGATGCCAAGAATGATCCACATTCAGGCATGCCATTTTGCCTTCAATTACTAGGGTTCATGTATAAACAGACATGCGACTTGTGAACAGCCAACTTGTACCAATCTCAAACCACAAGCCAGATAAATTAGTGGATAATTGCAAGCATTACATATGAGGTTTTTGCTTTACCAAATCATTTACATTAGGACATCTATTAATAGCAAACCCACACAGGGTGTTTGAAGCATGCCACTGTTCACTCAAAAGAGCGCTTTCTAGAACACAGCTACCGAGGAGCAACGACCCAATTCAAAAAAGTTTAGCACTCCTTTCACTCCTGAATTTAGCTCCATGTAGTAACAGAATTTTTGATCCCCTTGGAAAGGGCCACTAACTCCTATCACTTCGGGGATTGATGATCCATGGTGGACAGTGACAAGGCACCCAGAAAGTCCAATGGAGGAGAGGCAGGGCATGTGTTTGGGTCATGAAGCTGTTTTGGAGTGGATCATCTGAGGGGAGATGGATTTCATCTCCTTGTTTCAGGAAGGAAAAGGTAAACATGGAGCCTTACACTGTACTAGGATGGACATTAGGTCCTCTCTCGGACCCCGGAAGGTGATGTTTTGCCTCATTTCCAGCTGCATTTTAGAAAAGTGGATAAACATGCCTCCGATCAGACAGCCAGTAATAAACAAACAAACAAACAAACTAGGAAAAAATGGTAACGCTTTCTGTCTTAGATTCCTATCATTGACCGGCACTCATGCCAAATCTCTAGAGCCACTGAGGCCGTAGTTTTAATCCTGCTGGTTTCCTCAGTGGCTTCTGGGATGTGTGAGAAAGGAGGTGGGTGTGCATTTCGTGTCCCATGGAACCTGTCCTCTAAATGGTTATTCCCCTTTCCTCTGCCACTACACAGGGACTGTCCCACATTCCAAAAATGCCTGGGAAACTCACAAAGAAATCTGTATGAAGAGACGTGACTTCTGCACAGAAAGGCATCCGTAGCACTACAAACTCCATCTCCCCGTTTGCACTCGGGGCGGAGTTGCCATTTGGCATTGAACGGCTAGCAGGCACAGCTTCCTTGGTCCTCTTCCAAGGTTTTCACACATGGAGAGTTTCAGAGAAAGCATAACAGTGACAGGAAGAGTGCTGCCGGGTTAGTTTGGGGTGTGTGTGTGTGTGTGCGTGTGTGTGTGTGCGTGTGTGCTGTGACTCTCGTAAAAGCAAGTGCAAGTTCGGAAGCGTAGTAACTTCCACAAAGAGGAACACCGACTTTTCCCAGGGACATGGTGTTTCCTTTGCCTAGTTGTTTTGTTGTTTTGGAACCAGGAGCATCTGAAGTTAGGAATGAGCTTCGTAAAGCTGAGTCTCTGAGACCCTCGGGATGCAGACACACTTTGCTAGCTCAGTATCCAGGCTTTCCTGAAGGAATAGCCCTCCTTTCCCTCCCTCCGTCAGCCTTCAGATGACGCCTAATACCTACACGCGCCCTGGGTACAAGCAGGTTCAAAACACACAACAAGCAAGTCCCCACCTCCCGTCCTCCCTAGACGTTACTGCCCACGGACCCATCCCTGACTCTGGATGTGCAGAGTGTGCTCGCAGTGTAGACGTCCAGAGCAAAGGCTCCGGGTCGGCGTGGGCAAGAAGGCTGGGTCCGTGGGGTCTGGTCCTCCAGCCTCACTAGCTGGACGCTCAAGTGTCCAGAGAGAGGCAGTCCTTGCGCCTGGCTAACCTAGGGACGCGTCTCAGTCCCCTGCAGCAGCGCCAGAGCAGAGGCCGTGAAGGCGGACAGAGAGCGGAGAGGAGAGTGAGTTTGTGCCCTCCCGGGGCAGGTGTGCGCGGTACCTTGGATTTCTGGCTGCTGGTGGATGCAGGAGAGGGCGGCTGCTCGGCGCTCGCCGCCCGGCTGGGCAGCCCGTCCACGCCGTCGTCGCGGGCGCCGCTCGGAGGGATCATCGTGGCCGCGAGGAACGGTGTTGGGCTCCGGCAGGAACAGCGCGGTGCGCGCCCTGCCCGCCGCGCGCCGGATGCTCAGCTCCGCGTCCCGGGGACTCCCATCCTCTCCCCGGCGCTGACGTGCCCTCCTGCGGCCTCGCCCCCGCCCCAGGCCCTGCCCACCTCCCCGGCACTTCCGCGGGCGGGAGGCAGAGCGCGCTCCGCCTGGCCGCGCCCGAGGCCCGCT